TGTTGTAATATGTAACCTTAACATATCATCTAAATAGCTAAATAATGTAATTATTGATATTGTTGATATGTAAATATGGTAATTAGGAACATTGAGATTACGTTTATGTAAATACAGCAAATAGGAACATAATGTCAAGATTACATTTATTAGATAATATTCTGTAATTAATATAAATCCTTGTACACTTGTATAAATTCAGACCTTTGAGTCAAATGCAATACACAGAAATATTCAAACACCTCTTCTCCTTTCTATATGGTATTAATTTTGCTTCCAAACCACCCTTTTTTCTGGCTGCTACAGTAACCTCATAACTGCCAAGCCATTTACCAAGCAGCATTGCCAACTGCCACTGCACACACCCACATACCCTGCCTTTGTCAAACAGCATGCATCTCACATGCTGCCACTGTTCAAACACGCCCTTCTCTTTTCTGCACCGATCTTGCTTCGGTCACATTTTTTGGTACCTTGCCACTCTCAGATGACCCCCTCTCCCTTGGTATAGTTCTTGGTCCCTTTCTTTTTTCTCCTTCTCCACGTTGTGTTCATGATGTCAAACCTAGAGGATGCTTTTGTGACCTGCATTATTGATGCCATGCAATCTACTCCACCTGTCGCCGCTATGGCTCAACTAGGTACTCCTATTGCTTGTGTTTCCCAATCTTCTTCCCTTGGGTTCTTGATTCTAATGCTTTTAATCACATGTCTAGTAATGCTACTCTTTTCTCTCAACTCACCTTTCTCAATCCTCTCTCCTTCGCCTCTTCTAACCTACCATAGGAGGACTTCACACAAATTCTAAGTTAAAACAATTGGAGCTTAATCCTCCCAATTCATCTGCTACTCCAACTGCCTCTTCGCTTTCGTCTTTCAATAGATACAGCCCATTAGATACCCTACTTCTACCAATAATCCTCTGTGTCACCAGATCCTGAAAAACACAAGAATCAGAAAAGAATGTTACTGAGCAATTTAATGATGAAGTGATTTGGCTAATGGACAACAAATTTAAGGAGAATTGAGACAAATATAAAACAGAGGATAAAGGTAAGGTTGAAACTGGGGTGGTACACTCGCTGCCCTTAATATGGACAGTAGAACCATCAGCGAGTATTACAAAAGAATGAGAACTGGGTAGACAAAAGGAGGAAAGGATACCTCAATCCCCAGTCATATGATCAGTAGCGCCAGAATCAATGACCCAACGCCTAGAAGAAGAGGAAAAATGTGCAGTACGATTACCTTGTTAGACCAAAGTGGCTGTAGAGGATGTAGACAGCTGTTAGGAAATCTGAAACTGAGTATACTGAATAAATTCCTCATCACTTATATGCACAATACATCTTTCTTTCTCCTGAGTAGCTATAACAGGTTGAGACATCGAGTTAGCGAAGCAGGAATTACCTTGTGAGTGAAAAAACGAATGCTTCTGCGGAGGATGAGTGCATTGATTTCGATAATAGCCAAATTCGTCACAGTTATAGCACTGTACAATACCACGACCTCCACTATGCCCACGGCCACGACTACCTCTACCACTATTGCGACCACCACGGTGACGGTATTGGGCTGCTAAGGCAGAGTGGTCAGGAGACTCATTTTCTATAGTGTTCTTAAGCTCCTCAAAGGAAGACTACATAACTTTGTAGAAGACATTGGTAAGATTATCAACCTTCTTGCTTGACTGAATCTGAGACCGAACTACCTCATATTCCAGAGAGCTAACTTAAAGCCATGAGTTTCTTTTGTTGTGCTATCATCTCGTCAATAGTTTTGCAGGCTAAAAGAGATTGTATCTCCTTAGTATGCTTCTTAAACTCCAAAAAATAATCCATTAGCTTCCGCTGATTTTGTTTGGGTTGATAAACTTCCTGCAAGAGAGCATATAACCGATTCAAATTATAAGATTTTCCAAAAATAAATTGCAAGAAATCCCACAACTCCTTCACAATTTTGCAATGAGTAATACTCGCTTGTATTCGCTTATCAATAGAGTTTACTAGCAATGCAAGGATCTTTTTGTCGCGTATCTTCCATGTGTCAACATCCTTAGAATTGGCAAGTGCTGTTTCAGTCAAATGATTATCCTTTCCCATTCCACCTAGGCTAGTCTCAACCAAATACTTCGACTTCATATAGTTTGTACCATCTCCATTCAGCTTAACATCGGTAAGTTTGGATAGAGATACAATCTCCGCAACAGCCCCTTGTGCTGTGGATCCTGCACATCCTGGCTATCACGTTCAGACATTGTAACGTTGTACTCAAATTGTAAACGTCGAATTACTGTATATTTTGTTCACCGGAAAAATTTTCTATCCCCACAGCAGCCATGGTTGGCCTTTTCTGAAGCTGCTTTTTCTTTTCCCCAGTGGTGGTGGTGCGGTGGTGGCGGCCAAAGAGACAACCTAGAAGGCTCTTGATACCATGCAGAGATTAAGAGAGAAAGAGCATAGAGAGAGACAGATTAGTGTGCTGGAATTGGATATGCTACAATGTGTAGAGATTCTTATATTTATAAGGATACATATGTAACCCTACTGAGCTAAGCCCATTATTATAATACTAAAATAAACCCTAATCCTAATACGTCTATTCCAACTATTCATAACACACTCCAATGGCACCTTGGATTTGGTTCCCCTCCCTCTAGGTAAGACTACCGATGGTTGTTAGAGGATATATGTTGTCAAGGTTGGATTTGATGGGAATGTAGACTGCTTAATATCAAGATTAGTAGCCAAGGGCTACATTCAGATATTTGGTCTTGACTATGAAGATACTTTATTTCCCGTGGCCAAGATTGCTTTTGTTCATCTCTTTTTATCATATTGTTGCCATTCATCAATGGCCCTTCATCAATTAAACATCAAGAATGCTTTATTCACAAAGAATTACAAGTTTATATGGACCAGCCTCCTAGCTTCACTACATGTGGAGTGTCTCCTTTGGTATGTCGCTTATGACACTCCCTTTATGGCCTAAAGCAATCCTCATGTGCTTGGTTTGATCGCTTTAGCACTGTGTTACAACAATATGACATGATTTGTCGTTCCATCTTTTGCCTTCACTCAACACATACTTGTATCTACTTGGAAGTGTATGTGGATGATATTGTCATTACTGACAATTATAGTGTGGAAATCTAGAAATTCAAACAACACTTATCCCATTATTTTCAAACAAAATATTTAAGTCCTCTTAAATATTTCCTAGGAATCAAAGTTGCTCAATCCCGCCATGGGATTTCCACTAATCAGCACAAATATTCACTTGATAGTCTCACTGAAATAGGAATGCTTGAATCTCGACTAGTTGATTCCTTTGTGGAGCCCAATCTCAAGCTTCTTTCGAGTTAGGAGGACCCTTTGAAAGACTCAGAAAGATATTGATGCTTGTTTGGTAGACTTAACTACCTCACAATCACTAGACTTGACATCACGTTCGTTGTAGGTATAGTTAGTCAGTTTTTAAATACTCTTTGTGATAGTTATTAGAACGCAGTTGTCCACATTCTCAAATATATCAAGAATGCACCAAGCAACGGATTACTTTACCAAAATAAGAAAAATGTTGCAACTGTTGGCTTCTCTAATGCTGATTGGGCTGGGTCACCATCAAATAGAAGATCTACATCTAGATACTATATTTTTATTGTAGGAAACTTAATCTCATGGAGCAAGAAGCATCACACTGTTGTCAGATTCAGCGCAAAAGCAGAATATTGTGCTATGGCTATAGCTACATGTGAACTTATTTGGTTGAAACAATTACAACTTAAAATCAGAGATACTGATAAGATGAAGTTGATTTGTGATAATCAGGCTGCTCAATATATAGCATCTAATCCAATTTTTCATGAATGAACCAAGCACATAAAGATTGATTGTCATTTTATTAGAGAAAAGGTTTTCTCAAGAGAAATTGCAATAAGCTTTGTTGGCTCTAATGACCAGTTGGCTGATTTGTTGACTAAGTCATTATGGGGACCTAGGGTAAACATGTATGCTCCAGCTTTAGAAGGAGTGTTCATATGTAAATATGGTTATTAGGAATGTAATATCATGCTTACATTTATTAGATAATATTCTATAATTAATATAGATCCTTGTACAGTTGTATAAATTCAGACCTATGGGTCAAATGCAGTACACAGAAATATTCAAACACCTTTTCTCTTTTCTATAGTGATTATGAAACTGATATCAATTTTATTTTATTATTCTAATTATTAATAGGAGCCTCTACTGTGTAGCTAAGTCATGGATTGATTTATATGTTCTCACATTCTTCTCGCTCAACATAGTATTGAGAGCTTAACGAGGGACAATTTTAATCCATGAATAACCAATGGGTCCACTGCCCATTGGTGCAAAGTTTTTTTGAAAACTATGTTTCATCTTTGGTTTCCAATCTCTCTATTCTTGGCTGTGCTCTGACTTTCAGCTCTTATTTTCACTATTCAAATGCATTGCTCACTGGGTGGTGTAGATTGCGTTATCAATTTGATTTATTTAGGGATTTTGATTTGGGATTATTTTGCTTATTTTGATTTAAAAATTAAGGTTTTTCATTTGGGATTATTTTTCTATTTTGGGATTTTATTCTCTTCTTTTTATTTTATTGGGCTTTTATGTTTAGGCTGATATTAGGTTTAGGATTTATGTAGTATATAAGTATGCTCTCACTGTACACAATTGTTGGTTTTGGATCAATATTGACCTTGGAGGAGTACTCTATGTTTATTCGGGGAAATATATTGCTAAAGGGAGTACCTTTGGGGTTACACTTTACATCAATTGGTTTTTTATTTCCTTTTATTCTTGGTGTATATAGTTCTTGAGAATTTTATGTGCTCTGACATTTGTACTTCTCGTTAATATCTTAATAAATTCTGTTTATCAAAAATAAATAAATAATTTTTTTTTCTTTTTTAGTATCCCATGATACTCTCAACCTGATGAATTTACTTATGGAGCTTTGTATGATTTCAGAGAGTTAGCAAGTCTAGTTGATCGATCATGGAGAATGGAAATGGGTGGCAACCTTAGACAGGAATTTCTACCATTATAATTTATGTTCCATTGCCTTGTTAATCAGCATGAGATGCTACGAGGTTTGAACCTTGATCTTCAAGTTCATGATGTATTTTCTACTATTCTGTGGATGCTTAAACTGGATAATTTTAGAAGAAAGAAGAAACTTTGGTTCAGCAATTGTTAGAGATATAAACTACTCTTACGTTATCATCTAACCACTAAGTTTTCCCGACATTTGATCCTTGAAATGGTCTCAAGGCCTCTATGACCAAATAATCTGGATTGGGAGTTTAATTATTGACACACACGTTTTTCATAGTTAAACATATGGCTATGATGGCCTATGCTTTGTCCATGTTTCAAGTCAAAAGGCTTTTGAGTGAGGTTATTTAGTAGATATAATTGTATAATATGCATAATATCTTTGTGCGAGTTTGATATTTAAAAAGTAGGTTATGTTTTTTCTATTATAACCAGTCACCTGTACAATCTACTTATTTGGTCTATCAGAGAGGGTCACACGCATGCCCTCTTAAACCCTAGTGACTAGTGAGGAGAGATTTTGTACTTTGTAGTTTGTATTGATCTGATAACAACTCCTAGAAATTTATTCTTGTGTTTCACACTTTCACGGGCGTATCTTTTGTTGTGGACTATTTTTTCATTTTCATATTTTTTATACTCTTCTATGACAGTTAAAAGTAGCAATATTGATACTTTCACCTTTATCAAGTTCAACTGCTGACATGATTGGTTATTTGCTTGAGTTGTGAAGCCAGAATGATGCTCAAGAATTCATAACAAACTACTAAAATTTGACCAAGACATGTCAACTTATTAGGAAGCTTTCATGAAACTCACAACTTTATTGAATGCTTTAAAGCTTTCCACTCAAAAGTACAGGCATAACATGATCATAATATCAAATACTAGTTTTGACAAGTCTCGCTTATAGAGGCTCAATTCATTACCACTTCCATACAGCTTAAGTTGCTACAGCTCCAGCACCAAATCTACAATGCCAACAATTATAAATGAGTAATAATGCATATACATAATCTAAATAAAGTATAAAGCAGTCCTGCATATATCATGATGCCCCATGATATATTAGTTTGTATTGAAATCTAGAAACCCGCTTAGGATTAGTTTGAGATCAGTGATATGTTACATCTTAGATGACATTCCAATGTTTATCAAGTTGATTTATGTTATTAGGAAAATATATCTTGCTCAAAATATTTAGTGATAGGTGCTTGGTTATTTACAATCTGTTGTGCAGGGTCACTGTTATGATTGTGGGAAATAGGAGTTATGCTGGAACTCTTTTATCTTTATAGGTATCCAAGTACAAGATGTTCTAACATAATTTGTATTTCTGTTAGGTAAATGATTCCAGGATAACAAGACTGGATTAATGCTGAAAATAGGATAGAAATTGGGGAGAAAAAAATTCTACTTGGTGAACACACAGTGGAGAAAATGCAGAAAAATGCTGCAAAAGAAAATACAGTCAGGTCTGACAGACAGACTCTGCCCTCCCTGACTTATGCAACCAAACCAAATCACTCCTTAAAATTATGTTATGTCCCACCCCCTTCCTTAACACTTTTTTCTATTTCCATCATTACACAATCATACTTACCCTCCCTGTCCAACACTTTTCTTTCTCTTTTCTTATATACATTTGTCCAAGGCCCATCATAGAATCGACATGGCATTCCTTTATTTTGGCAATTCATACTGTATATTCTGTGTTGTTGAGAATTGAGATAAGACCTTTTTTGCTTATAATGATGCCGACAGAAGATAATATCAAATTTGTGTGTGTGTGAGGACTTGCATTCTAGAGATATTGTACTTACACTCTGCATCTGTTTTGATCCAGTGCTCATTGTTTCCAATTGAGCTACTGCATATTAGCCCATGTTGCAGTGGGTTCCAGTTGGTCTTACAGTGTTGGGACCACTTTCTTGATTTGGTGTCTGAATGAAATTGTCTACCTTTCTCTGGGTTTGTGGGGTTTACATTATCATATTCATGGATGTATTCATGAGGAACATTTTTGCTCTTACCTTTGTGGGATTTAGCAAACTCTTTTGCATTTGTGGGGCTTTCAGGATAGACTTTCCTGTGAAACATACGTAGAACCTGCATATCCAGATGAACGAACCAAATAATTTATTATAGTATGATAGTTTCTTAATGAGTACATATCCAAGACATGCATATTGGAATTGTGGGTTTGTTGTGATAGCTAAACTTTGGTTTACAGACCAGCAGTGACATTTGACAATTAACAATTAGCATAGTTACATTTGGTTTAAAGCCTGATTGGAATCCCTTTAGCTAATATTCTTTAGATATGCTTTGCAAATTTCAGATGTTGATGTATATTCTCCTGTATGTACTGTTTTTACTTTATTCTATGAGAACAAGTGCCAGTAAATTTGTTAGTGTTACTGATAATTCTTGGCTAATAAATCTGATAATCAGGCTACTCCGACTATCTGATTTGTATAGTTTGTGTTTGGTTTCATCCTTTTTTTACATTATATCTATGGTTGAATAAAGAAATGGACATGCATGTCAATTTTCATTGGCTATATGTTGTTTAGATGCTAAGGCAATAATCAAAGGAACAACAATTATATTTGTTGTTAAAGGTGGTGCAGAAGATCTAGTTATAGAGACCAACCTTATGGCGTTTTTTATTGGTCAAAGCAGAATCAGCATCATTCATGGAAGTGTTACAGCATTTTGAAGAACCGTTGACCCTTTTCAATATATTTTTCATAATATGCATGGCAGACTTAGGTGTTTGCTTGACTTGTGCCTCTCCTCTTACTCCTGTCTCTATGCAGTCTTGACTAGCTGTCTTTGTCCTATGAAATAGCTCAGCAAGTGATGTTCTCTCTTTCCTTATTTGTTTTGTTTCTGGTAGTTCAAACGAGGACCCCATCAAATATCCTTGTAGTGGACATAAAGCTTTGTTTCCATAATCCTCAGCATCGGTTCCATCTACTTGCTTTCCACTAAGTGTGATAATGCTAACATAGCTGTTTCGTCCTGATGATTCGTAGAAACTTTCTTCTTTTTCAGCCTCAAGAAATTTCTCAAGCTCATAACTTATCAGCTGCAGTTCATTGTCTGTCACCTCTTCATTTCTCATAGTTATGTTTTCCAAAGGCATAGCAAAAGTTGGAGTTCCTGGCTCATTGGTGACTGTTTCTGTGCCAAGAGTTCCAATTGTCAGAAAACCTTCAAAGAACTCAGAGATGACTGCTGGTGTTTCTTCTTGGGACTTCTCTTCTCTGCTGTCAACCAATCCAGAATAAGATGTTTGACTTTCCTGATGGTGTGGCTTTATGAAACTGGGTTGATTTATGGAGCTGAAGCTTGGCTTTGTCTGGGAGTATTGATTGTCAAATATTGGCTGCACTGTAAGGCAAGTACAAGGATTTACTGAATCCAAAAGAAATTGATAAACTGGTGAAATTAGTAACTAATGATAGATATACATTCTTCATAACTTGGTGAAACATACTGATTTCTTGTTATTATTCTCCTTCTACTTTGGAAAAAGGAATACAGAACAACAGAATAAAGGATAATAATAAGATGGATTAAATATGGACAAGGGACCTTGAGAGTGATACAAGTGTAACTTTTGAATCTGCAGTAGATTAGTGGTTGCAACCAATCTAATAAAGTGGGATGTGGATGTTTCAGGTACAATACTGGTCCTGATCTGTTCAAAAAGCCTGGTATCGAAAACACCTTATTTTTACTTTGGCCCCCAGGTCTTGTAACATTTTGGTTAGATTATTTATTATTTACAGATTCTAGAGCTCAGAAAAATCAATCTGATACATATTATGCTATTGCGTTGATGGACAGTAACTAGTCAATCACACAATTTAGTTGTGTCAAGGTGTGACTGATGACGGCTTTTAGCCTCAACTGAATGCCTTAAAAACCACTTATATGGGCACCCTTGTCTTCCCCTGTCATTCACTCCTATTAAGTAAAAGCAATGAAAAATTGGATAAGAGTTAAGGACAGGGCAGCTCAATACCGAGTGTGAAATCCTTGACAGGATCAATACTATTCTGCCGAAGTTTTCGATGCACCCATTGAAATAACTGCAACAAGTAAAGGCAGGGATGAAGCTTAAGGACTGAAGAAATTTTTCATTGTAAATTGAGTGTTCATACTCACCTTCATTTTGATCACTTTTCTTGTTTGATAACAAAGTTTTTCTTAGTTTACAGATTACGCTGGTAGATATAAATGTGCTAGGAAAAAGGTCTCTAGGATTGGGAGGTTATGATTGATAAAGTGAAAAGGCACATAGACCTTTTGTTTCTGACCCGTTATAAGTTAGAATGAAGTGGATGCTAGAACAGTCTGTGTGCATAGAGAAAAACAATTAGATAGATACAAAAATGTGGTTGGCTATTCTTTTCAAACTCTAATCATGAGGGTAAATTGGGTGTGGAATGTGTACCAACACGTTGCTATTTGTCTATATTTTTGTCTCTGTATGAACTTTCATATTGTTGGATCACACACGGTTGTGAATCCATAACCTTTTGAATCCAGGCATGAAAACAGTGCATCTGGGACAGCATTGTCAATTTTGAATGATGAAGCTAAAGCACTCGCTGTTGAGCAGAAAGATATGCTCGATTGAATGTTCATGGTTACACATGTACCTAACAATATACTGTCACCACCCATTCGAGATCACAGAAGCAATTGCTGAAATTCTAATTTGCAGTGGTTGGATGTGCTTTCGGTGACATGCTATTGTTTGAGACTGCTGTTTAATTCAGAAGTCCCACTTCTACAAAACATTTACTACTTTTGTACTTTTGAGTGTCTGTGAAAAACATTTTTCCCTAAGTAATTTAACTGTAATATAAACTTTTCCAAGTTTAACTTATGAAGATAGACCTAGTGTTTTGAGAAATTTATTGGAGACATCAAACTTCAATTAGAATTAAAATGGTAGACTTTACTTTTTGCAAGGCTAGGGTGCAAAGTTCCTGGGGAGGTACTTAAAAGAATGAAGAAAATTTGATACACCTGAAAGTTCTCTGCTGATATATTGATGTGCTTATATTATTATTATTAGATCAACCTTCGACATCATTATCGCATCTAGATACTAAGGCCAATGCAATTGTCAATTGAGCTAAAAGCTCTGACTAAAACTGTTGATTTTGGATTGTTATAAACGTTGTTTGTGATGTCTAACTGGTAATTATTACATAAAATTCTTTTTACCTTCCCAATTCTCCACTTTCACAGACGCATTTACAGACTGATTAAAAGTAAAGTTGAAGTCTCCTAGAAAAGGAAAAATAATGTTTTCAATTTTGCACTTGGGAACAAGGTCGTCATAGAAGGGATGTTAACCCTTCACCCGGCACTTTGTTTGATATGACTTGACTTCTTGCATCTTTCTAAATCAAGATCAATTCCCTTTTTGATCCCATCCGTGCTTCAAGCTTTGGGGATTATATCTGAGCCATTGTTCTTTGTATTTACAGCATGTTGCAGGAGATAAATTTCAGATGCTGTTCCTGAAAGATAAACATCATGCCTAGAAAGCGAGGGGAGTCACATTTGCCCGGGGAAACTGTAGTAAAGCTCACGTGTGAACACTAATAACCAATGTTCATTTAAGAGATATACGTGAATGTGATGCAGTATCAGTACTTTTCATTGCTTACTTTTGTTGGAACAGGGACAAATAATTGTTGCAGTCCTTCTAAAGCTACACATGCTTACTGTTGTTTCTCCATAGATGGTAATTGTAGTTAAATTAGATTCTTGTTATTAGGTCAATATATTGAACATGCTGGTATTTATTATTTTGTTCAACTCTTTTTAACCCAAAATCAGAACCCCTTCGATTTAAGCCTGCCCTTTCAAGTCAAATTTTGAGGCATAAACCAATAATTTTCAAGGAAAATAGTACACAAGACTAGATTGCTCCTGTATAATCTAACCATGAGCTGAATTATTAGGTCAAGCACGATTGCCTTGTCGATGGGCCGTTCCTACCATATTCCACTTTGGATTGGTTGATAAAAAAGCGTGCAACGTCAGCAGTACATTAGCAGATCAACTGCATTTGTTTGTCATATCCTTACCTGCTTCTCAGGAATAGTCTCTCAAATCTTATTTAGCTTTTCGTGCTTGATTTTTTTGCTTTAAGTGGTTAAACAGAACCAATATTTTCTACTTACTTTGCATGTGGAACAAGGCCTAATACTTGACCAACAATTAGGACGTTCCCATTTTAGAAACAATTTTTGGCATCACGACACTAATACACTATGTTTCAACAGGGGAATATGTACCAAATCCTGCCCCAATAATTGAAGGTGAGAGAGGCACATAAGCTTTTGCGTCATGGCATCTTCATTTTTAGCAACACGCCGGGCAGATTAACATGAAAGTTGCCACATTTGGAGAATTTATGCTAGTAAGGACAAAGCCAAGTCATAGCCATTCAAAATGTGCTAACCAAAACAAACGCTAGACCTTCAGAGTTATGGGTCACTTTGGGGTCAGTGTCTCATATCAACGATAGATGGTGACCATGTGAATTTCACGTGATTAGGGAAATTGGATTTGGCAGACCCTTATCATTTTAGCAACATGGTCAAACCTAGTCTTTTCTAACAACCATTTAATAATAACTTTTCCTTTCAATTACAAGTTTTTTCTTTTCACCTTTGAAATCGAAATAATTCTTGCTTGAGATAATAAGGCTTTTTTTTTTTTTTTTTTCCAGCGAGCTTGTACTTCGTAGGTTAAGTTTGACCAAAATGTACCATTATTCCTTTTAAAATTGATTTTTTTCCCCCACACTAATTGAATAGTTGCTTATCCCTTTAAACCCTAGAGCTGAAGCACGACACATGCTAAGTGATTTTCTCCTTGTTTTAAACTTCTGTGATGTCAATTTCGTATATTAGCTTCTTTTATAAACTTACTAACTATAAATATTTAAGGGAAAGTTTAAATTATAGTATTTTTTAAAAAATAGAATAGAAATTAAATAAAAAAAGCATAAGGCTTAATTTATGACAATAATAATAGCCCTTACCTGATGTGCATGTCTTGTATAGTATTGTTTTCAATGATGATTTTATTGGAACTGTAAGCCTTGCAATTTTACTGCTCTGTTCGACTTCCTATCCAAAGGGGAAATAGAAATCTCTAAAAGCCACACGTAAGCATGGCATCAGCAAATACATTTTTTTTCGTGGAAGATAAATTTGATGTCATTAGCAATTATTAGGCAAAATTAATTTTTTAATAACAAAGTTAGGAGAACAGAAGATACTTTAAGTACAACAGATTTTCCATGATTTATAGTGATATTTACAAGTAAGCTGCCACCTACAAACATAGATCATGTACTAAAAACCAGAAACAAAAAAATGATAAAAAACTGTGTACTTGGAATGATTATTTTTACCTTCCCTTGAGTTTTATTTGCCTTAAAAGTTCTCTCAGAAAAGAAAAATGTTTATCGATACCTGTAAAATTAAAATTTTATGGCTTCACTGGTAGGGATAGTATTGTTTTTAAGATTATTATTTGTCTACGCAGTGATAGGTTTTTTTCTTAAGATATTCTTTTATTTGTTCAACGTAGGGATAGGCTTCTGTGCACGGTGATATTGAATTGTGATTGTGTAATTCATGAACTTTGGGAGAGGAAATGTGAGAAATTACTAGAGAGAGGATTAAAATCCAGTACGTGATGCATATGTCCTTGTAGCTCTTATTACTGAGCTATCAATACAAGGACCGTCAATTCTATTATTCTAACTTTTATTGACAGATGATGATTCAAGCTTCTTTTTTATTATTATTTTTGGGCCATATTGATTCAGCTTTTGTTGGACTATGTGTTAAATTTTAATAAAAAATCCTTTCCTTTTCATGGTTCAGTTCTTTGTTTGGGAAGTAGGATTGGTCTTTGAAGTTTATAAGATTGTTAAATTGTGTTTAGTTTTGAGTATATTGTTTGGTCTCTTGTTTAAAAGTTATGTATTGTTGTAATGGTTTTATTATTTTAATATTTTTTCACTCTATATCACATATATCTTTCACAGTCAAGACTTGAATCCATTGGTTAAGGTAGAATAATCTTATGTTAGTATATTTACATATTTTGTAGTTATTTAACATATTTTGAATTAATATGTCTTCAACTAAAGGAAAAAAACTTGTCAATTGACTTTTTGAACATTTTTTTTATTAATTTTTACATTAAAATACTTATATATATATATATATATATTAATTTGAGTCTTGTTAATTAATATTTTTAATATATTTTTTAACATCCTTTTATTTATTAATCCGTGTCTTAATCAATATTTTCTATACTTTCCAGGTATTTATTTATATTTTATTGATTTCTCATTTAAAATATGAATTTATTTCTAAATATTATTAATTAATATTTTTAAGATACCGTTTAAATTTTATTTATTTATTTAATATCTTTCATAATTTATTTATTTATTTAAACAATATATTTTTCTGTCGTAATTTATTTAGTAATTATTTAATGTGGTAATAAATGTCTTCTGAGGTCAAATATTTATTTTCCTTTTTAAGTATTTTTAATTTATAAATATTTATTTATATGTTGAATTACGAGTCTTGTTAATTCAGATTTTTTAATATATTTTTAACATTATTTATTTATTAATTAATTTAATAATGCCTTAATATTAATTTAGCTAACATTTTGTAGCATATTTAATTTGTGCCTTGATTAATTAGTTTTAAACATTTATTTATTTATAAATATTGTTAATCAGTATTTTAAATTGGTAAATTTTATTTTAATTTATTTTTATTTCATACATTTAATTTATATTTATATAGTTATTTACTTGATCAGCGACTTTAGTATTTTTATTTATTTATTAAACAGTGTCGTAATCCGACTCTTCGTTGTCGGTCCAAGCATTTATCTGTTATTTTATTTATTTATTAACTTTAAAAATTTTATTTGTTTATCAATCTTGCAAATCAGTATGTTTGTAGATAATTATAGGAATTATGTACTATTATTTAATGTGGCATTCTTTTTTCCCTTTTTTATTAGTCGTTGTTTTTGTATCTTTATTTATTTATTCTGTTAATTGGTATCGATAACTTATTTATATATATTTTTTATTTATCATATTTAGCCTTTTAAATTACTTATGTAGTTATTTACCTTTTAGTGTCTTAATTAATTTATTAATTATTTAATTTGTAATCAATATCTATGAGATCGATTATTTATCTTCTTTTTAATTATTTTGAATTTTTAAATATTTATTTAATTGTTCAAAACATTTATATATTTATTTATTTACTTGATCAATGCATTTAATTTATTTCTTTATTAATCAGTGTCTTGATTAGTATCTTCCTTATTTATTTATGCTGTTAATTGGTATCTATAAAGAACTGTATAATTTGAAAAACTTATTTATATATTTATTTGAATCTTGTTAATTAGTATTTTTAATATTTTTGAACATTATTTTATTTCTTAGTCTGTGTCTTAATTAATATCTTTTATACGATTCAGGTATTTATTTATTTATTATTGATTTCTCATTTTAAAATATACATTTATTTATAACTATTGTTAGTTAATATCTTTTAAGA